GGGCCTACTGCCCCCTGTCACGGGCATAGATTGATCTAGTTAACTCTGTGATAGCCCCATGATCTTCAAACTTTTACGGAGCCTGGTATGACTATGTTGGAAGAAAAAGATTGTCTTATCTGGCCTGATTCTGGAAGTTCAAGCCTTCTGCTTGGTCAGTGTTGCGGTATAGCAGTCAGAGCTCATGATTTGTCTGGGTTCCAGGAAATAGAGAAGGATCACCCTGTCCCTACCCCAAGAGATAGTACACATCACTTTATCCACTGAGGGCTGTCTCTTGTACCTTTTCTTCAGTGTAGAATTCACGTCACCACTTTTGTGGACTGATGTTTTGTCTCTGGCTCATAGTGGTAACACCATATCTCATCAACAGTAATGATGCGATGCAGGAAACCAACACCCTCAGCACCATATTGATTCAATAGGTCCTGACAAACTTGTATACGGTGTTCTTTCCGTTTTTGTGAGAGCATTCATGGAACTCACCTGATGCAAACTTTGCAATATTTCAACATTGCCACCATCACTTGCAATACATTGGAGCCAATATTCAGCTCCAAAAACAGTTCTCTGGTCATAGTCTGCTGATTCACATGAGTGAGCTGATCAATACACTCTTCATTTCATGATGTGACAACCGTGCTTGGCTGTCTGAAATGTGGCTTGTTCTTCACTTGGCTTGCCACTGCTGAAATGTACCACCCACTGTCTCACTGCGCTGACATCCACAAACGTTCAGCAAGTGTTAGTGAGTGTCAATAGATGTGATTGTTTCCACATGGAGGAATTCAGTGACACACCTTAGTTCATATATACTTGCATGTCAGATGCAATTCTGTCAGACTGCCCTTCTGCTGCCATCTGTCACATGGCAACAAAATGTAATGGAATGTTGACGGGAAGGTTCATCCTTTACTGCCATACTACCAACATTTTTCGCTGAAATAATGAGCCAATAGAATAAATTAGGAGGCATTACTTTCGGAGCAGCCCTCATATATTATGGAAAGCTTTTCATGTAAGTCACAAATATAATAATCCCATGTGTTAAATCTTTATGCTGTAAAACCTTTTTTTAATTAAAATAGATGAAAATCATTCCTGCAAAGTGAATATCTTTGAAATTATGCTTAAAGTTTTAGTGTTCCTAGTAGAAAAATCTCCAAGAGAAGTGATTACTTTCCTCTCATGTTCTACAGTCATTGTACTAACATACTGCTAAATGTCAGATAAAATGTTTTCATAAATAATATATACAACTATCTATTTGCCTTAGGTATTGCCTTTTAAAATTCCTGTAGTTATTCACCACTTACTGAAGAAAATTACATCTCTTAGAATAGATGTTTGAAGCAGTCAGGCAGGGGGTTTCATTGGTTTCAGCAGAACATGAAGTTTAGTCAAGATATGATTTTATATGCGTACTTATCCGTAGTTTTGGTGTATGGTACTAGAGAACAATTTTTGAACTTAAATAGGAGAGAACTATTTTTCTCATTATCACTCTGATATACACTTACATTTCATTATTGTATTGTTATTATATTATTTTGTTGCGTTGGTGAGAATGATACAATAATCATATACTGTTTTTTCTATGCTCTAATTCTTTCCTATATTCAAATAGCCATAAAATTTAATTAAAAAAATATATATATATTTATCACCCAGAGAGGTAAAGTTAACCCTTTATAAAATTAGGCACTCCCTCATACACAAAACCTATAAATAAAGCACACTATATTGGCAAGCCTCTAGACGTAGATATGACGGTCAAATAGTCCTAACTGTTTAAACTAGCAAAACTAGAAAAGCTATCATTACACATATAACATATATTCTTAAGCCAGGTATTTAGGTAAGTCAATAAATGACTCTTCCCTTTTCATAACGTAAGCTCTTTATTTCTTCGTTTTATTGCTACTGCATTTACAATTTGAAAATTTCTTTTTGCCCTTACATTATGCAGTGATACATAATGGAGGCCAATATACGTGACTTATAATTGGCACTGATTAAGATCAAGACTGTGGTTGGCTGTCTGTGTTGCTAGGCAGTATCCTATTAAGCCATGGAAATACATCTGCATTTGATCAGATGATCATACCACTAATATTTACCAAAAACTATGCACCAAAAATTTTACAGGGAATAGATAAAACCTAAATCAAATAAACACCACAGTTGATTATATTTAACTTTTAAAATCAATCTAACAATTATTAAGATTTTTAATGTTAATGTTTATAATTTGTCTCTTTTCTCCTTTCTGTGTGTTGTAAATTCATATAACCCTGATTCTTACAGGTTCATCATCACAGAGGCATTTGAATTTTATCTTTTTAATCAAATCTGCTTAAGTCTGTTTGTCTGATTCTCTGTCTTTTTGTGTGGAAGCTGACAGATGACTGTCTAACAGTGAAAAGTGTTCATAATAGACATCTTAAACATCCTTGTTATTCTGAAGAAAAAATGAAATTCCTAAAATATTTCTCAGCACTGTTGTCCTCCTTGTTAAAGGGGGGAGGACAAAGGTATTTAAAGCAAATTACCAAATGACAGCTTTATGGAAAAATATTCCCATTTCAGAAATCAGATGGAAACAAAATGTACCTTTGTGCTAGCTGTTCCAGATGGTTAAGATGGATATAACTTACATCAATAAGTACAAAGCTATCAGAGAATGACAAGTATAGTATGTATAGAAGTTTCAGCATTCTTCTAGGTTCAGACTTTATGGTAACAACCTTAGTGTAAGAAATTGAAATTTCTTCCTCTGCAACTATGATCCACTTAGGTGGCACATACCACACAGCTGATTTTGAGTTAGGTACATCTACACTGATAATAACATTCATCAAGGAGCAAACTGAAGCACTGAACCTTTGGCCATCCACAGTACTTTATTGCTGGCTTTTTTCCTGGACGTCGTCCAGATCACTATAACTGGTTTCCTGTCAGAAAAGGGATACTTATGTTCCTCCATTTGTAAAATAAAAAAAAATAATAAAATAAAATAAGATAAAGACAATACAGAAGTATCTGTGCTAATTTTGATAGTAGAAACCAAATTTGCAGAAATTCAAGAGAATTCTTTAACTGAAAAGAAAAACACACTGCACTGTTTAGAGATGTAGTTTTCTTTGGGTAACAATATAGAAACAGCAATTTGGTTAACGTGAAAAATGAATGTTTTTTTTTTTTTCTGTAAAATTTGTATAAATACTGTGTGTTGCTCAGGTAATCTGTGTGAGATCCTGTTTGAACACTTTGAAATGAATGAAAATACACTGTATGGAAGATAGCAAAAGGAAACAAAATAAGAGAAAGAAAAGCTGTGCTAAAGCATACTGTAAGCCTTTGAGGAAACAGAGGTGAAATCATGAAGTCACCTTTCCTTTCTATTGAGCAAAATATCCCAGATGGCCTGGTTAGGTACAAGCTTTCTATCCAAGATCTGAGGTCAAATAGAATATTTAGATCTTTATGATTTATATGCCCAAAAGGGGAGGGAAGTAGACTTCAGTAGATTGAGGCTGAGACACAGATAATGGAAGACAAATAGCAATGAGAAAACATGCTGAGAGGAGGAAGTACAAATGCTCCCTGCAAGATGCAGGGGCCAACATGGTTAAGGAAAGCCAATCTTTTCCTTTGGCTTTGGCTGGCTCCCTCTGCTGCTATGAAAGTCTTTTGCATCCATCTCACTCAGAGGGAAACAGCAGGATCAAACTTCTCTGTAAAAGGTAAGATAGAAGATCATGGGAAAGGAACATTAAGGAAAAATGTGCAGAATCAAAGTGAAAAATGCAGAAAACTCTGCAAAAAATTCTGTATTAGCTGATAGTTGAAGCTACCAAATTATCATCTCAGATGCTTTAAATACAAATAAACAAAATGAGAGTTTTTTTTCAGGTGTATAAACTGCTCTTCATAAGGAAAGCAAATAGACAATTTTTCTGAAACAGAAGTACAAATATAGTATCAGTGTAATTCCTCTATAGTTATACACACACCCTCCAAAAATTTTCTTCCAAGGACAAAGATTCAGATTTACCCATAAAGGCTAGTAAGAAGTGTGGGAGTGTTATCACTTCATGACTTCTGGCAGAGGAGTATTTGCAGGAAACACTTCAAAGAAATGGTTATTCATGTCGTTCTCAGTGAAGAATTCTTTTGTCTGATAATAACTGTAGGAGGTAGAAGAGAATATGTATTAATTTCACAAAAAACATCCTGATGCCAAAGTAAACATATTTTTGTATCATAGAGTAAATGCTGCATGCATCATGTTTTAATGATTGGCTTACATATTACTTGTATAGCAAATTTATTTGGTCAATTTTATAGTAAGAAAAAGCCTTCAATATTAGGCTCCATGATAAGTTTTCATAGCAACATTGTGGTGTTTCATTTCTAAATTACTGATTATATTTCCTCACCAAAACCTGACAGCCAGCAGGAAACACCATTTAATGCTGTTATTTTTGAGACAGCCAACTACTTGGAAATTTTGCAAGCAGTATTTTAAATAAAGAGAATAAAATAGTGATTTTTTTTCACTGATAATGGAACTGTAGGATGTTCTTGAATGTAAATTGCTATCAAGAAGTAAATTAGCAATTCAGAAAAATCAAGAAACATTATTTCTGACATCATTACAATAACAAAGTTATCTAATCCTTATACAAGTCTGGGTGCCAGAATCTAATTTGGCTGTCTTTAATATTCCAAGATAAAAAGGCATAATATTTTAGTAAGCAGCTTATAAATGATATAAGATAAAGAATCTGCAAGGAATTTCGCAATATTCATTGTTGATCTATCTTCTATTCCTAGGATACATCTCATTCCTTGCCACAATGTTTTCACACTTCAGCAAACAGTATGTGCACACATTTGTACAATATTGTAGAGAAATGTATTCTTTCTTTTGAATAAGATTATCTGATTTTTTTTCACATGGTTTTTATTAAAAGTCATAGGTCAGAAGTAAGAGATTGTCTGATCATACTAAATGTACATAGGCTTCTTCTTCTTCTTTTTTTTTTTTTTTTTTTTTTTTAATGCTCAAACTAGATGGACAATCTGAAAATTCTTGCCTCAGAAATAATCCTTGAAAATCATAGTTTCTCAGAATTTTGCCACATCCTTTTGGAATTATGGGTTCTTCATAGCCTATTAAATAGAAGTGCTGCAAATGAACTAACAATATTCAGATGTTTGTCTGAGTAGACATGTTGAATAGCATCACTGAATCACAGGATCATAAACTGATAAATTCTGGAGGAAATAGATGTCTTCAATAATCACATTGTGGAAGCCTTTCCTTTGAAACAAAGTTTTAATTCTTTTTTTTTTTTTTTTGTCATTATTTATTATTCCTGTTATAGAAAATTATGTACTGTTCAATTAAATTTCAAAAATGTCACCCCCTAAAGAAAATTTATTTCAAACAAAAATTATTTACAATGCACTATAAAAATACAGCAAAAGTGATAAAAATGAATGAGTGCCACAAATTAGCAATTACATAGTACTCATCAGGTTGCTAGTAATATATATGATATGACGATGTGATTCCAAGGCAAGTGGTAACTTGGAGAAATAACTGGATATTACTGTTGTACATTGACTGGTCCTGATAATTTACACCTATCTTCAACAGATGTCTGTCAAGATTTATTCTGAATACATCTTGAAATGAATTGTAAAATGCATTTAAAATAGTATGATTTTGGAATTTTTGAATAAACACTGAAAAGAAACAAACCACATGAGCAGCTCAACTGCAGGCCAGTATTGTACTTAATAGTTGAAAACCAGAAAGACTATTAGCTAGATGTGGGACTGGATTGATGAGCTAGGAAGCAGAAATCCTAGTAAAGTCAGTTAGGAAGGCTTCATAGGAAATAAATTTTGTCAAATAAATCTGATTTGATGAAAATAAAAGAATAAGAAAGAGGAGGGGAGGGAATGCTTATGGAGCGGACAGTGGAGTCTCCCTCCGTTTTTGGAGATCTTCAAAAGCCATCTAGGCATTGTTCCGAGCAAGTGGCACAAGGTGACCCTGCTTGAGCAGGTGAGTTGTACCAGATTTATTAAAGCTCATTAAATCAATATAGGAATGTGGGCACATTTTTCATCAAATGCTGAAAATATGGAAAACTTGTCAATGTATTGATTCTCTCACTATGAGAATGGTGTTTTCCAAGAGATATGTTGTTGCTAAACACAAGATTTGCATTCGGTAAGCCAAAGCAGTTGAATACAGTTAGGCAGTAACCAAGTGAAGTTTAATAGCCTATAAAAAACCTGAGCTAATAGTCCCTTCTGGTATTAAACATAACCAAACTATGAGAAGCAATGATCTAATCACAATAGATTGCCTATCTACAATAAAATGTCTTGAAGAAATCATGACTAATTTTAGGCTAAACATTTTAAATGTAATCAACAATAGAATCCTCTTAGTTATATACACATTTAAATGTACGCAACCACAAATAACTTTAAAAAGTTTGAAATTATATTGCAAATTGCTGAATTACTTTAAAAATAAACTGACTATATCACAAATTAGCAACTGAAAAAGGAGTGTGATCATTTATGTATCTATAACTAGAAGTACTACCTTAATTTCAGGTTTCATTTTTTTTTTTTTTTTTCCCCCTAAAGAAATTGATTTACAGATTAACTTGTCATGGGTATTTTTCTCCAAACGCAAAGGCTCAGAATGTAATCCAACATCAATTCAATGCTATTAGAATCCTTCTATTAGAACAATAGGTTTTGTATCAAATACAGAAATTAAATAAAGTGACAAATAATCGGGTTGGAGGAAGCAGTAGAGGGGAAAATTCAGAATAAATATAAAATGTTATTGATACAGTACAATTACCATGCGGGCAAAGGTTTCAATATTACAACAAAAATGTTGTGAAAGCCATATTGTGAATATCACATAAGTTCCTAACATTTTTATTTATATAGATCTCTGAAATGATTTAATAACATCATGTAACCTTTTATATAGGAAATATATTTACAGAACATAGTAATTCAGATGGCAGACAGGTATCCAAACATATAATTCCAGCAATTTTTCAATGTATTACTAATAATTATAGAAAGTAGTTATGAAATACATCTCAGAAATTATTGGTTGAGTAATACAAGTATTTAGAACAAGTACAGAAATATCTGACAAATAATAATTCTTTTCATCAAAGAAAATATGATTCCTAATGCTAAACAAATGTATACGTAAAATAGGAGGCATTACTTTCAGAATAGCCCTTGTATGTGTACAAATATGATGTTCACAATGTCAAACATATGGTACATGCCAACAGTACAGTTGACATTTGGTAAGAAAACCACAGAAGGACATGACGTATAGAAAAAGTCCAGACAAACAGCAGAGTTAGCACAATTATACTATAAAGAGTAACATTAAAATGACTGACACAAGAAATAATAATGGTCCCTAATTTCCCACTAGGTAAGCCAGCAGAGATAGCAATTTCTTTTACTCATCCAGAATCACTAGCATCATTCTCAGCAACATATTCCACTACACATTCAAGTGCTATTCAAATATTGCTCATTTATAACTTATTTTGTTAGCTGAATAAAATGTTGAGTATTAAAACTGGCACTGGTTCAACCATCACAGTTCATTAAATTACTCAGGAGATCAGGACTGCAGTATAAATGCCTATGCGGTAAAATGAAATGATCTATTTATCAAATCATACCCTGCTGTGTTATTCATTTGATAATAAAAACTTTATTTTCTCCACTTGTGTCTTCTCTTATAAATGAGATATAAAGCTTTTTCAGTTTATTGTTTTGTATAAATATTTGAACAGTCAATGAAAGGTCAACAAAATATAGGTAAAGCTTCCCTGGAACAATAACAAGAAAAATGTTTGGTTTTGGAGAACTATATGTTTCTTTATATATATATTTGACCTAATGACTCTTCACATATACTGAACTCATAGCGATCCACAATACATGTTTCACTCATGAAGCTTGTGTTTGTTTTGCATCCTTTCACATGATCTTGCCTCAGTGAAGCAATATGAGAAATACCATCTTTTCTGTACGGGTCACATCTCATCATGAGGCAATACATATACTGTTCTAGTGTCTCTGTGAAGCTATACACATTAACACCTTGAAACAGATTTACTAATTGTCATTTCCCCCATATCCAGTGGAGTCCACTTCAGATGGTAATGTGGATATCTCCTCTGTCATGCTCCTTCTCGTAGGCTGCAGAGAAACACGTGCTTCACCATAACATCATCTCCCCACTTCTCATACCTTGGTATCTTCAGTGTTGTTTCTCATGCTTTTCTTCCTCGCGTTTATGTAGCATTTTCTCCCTTTTCTCAGAAGCGCCATCATCTTGGCTGTGGAGCCTAGACACAACCTGTGATAGGGCCACTGGAGATATCTGGAACCCAGCAGTACCTTGCTGCCAACACTTGGGTACTTGCACCCAGTACATTTATTTTTATGTAATGCTTAGCTTCTAATGCTTAGGTTAATATATATATAAATATTTATTAGGCTGCTAAGATTTCAATTATACTACAAATAATGTGTTGGGATTATATTTCAGTGTGACCAGGGAGGTGGGTCAACCCAGTAGTTGACACTGGTGAGGCTGCACCTCAAACACTGTGTTCAGTTTTAGGCCTCTCACTTCAAGAAAGACATCAGGGCCCTGGAGTGTGTTCAGAGAAGAGCAACAAACTGGTGATGGGTCTGGAGCACAAGTCTTATAGTAGTGACTGAGGAAACTGGGATTGTGAAATCTAGAGTAGAGGCTCAGGGGAGACCTTGTAACTCTCTACAACTACCTGAAAAGAGGTTATAGTGAGTTGAGAGTTGGCCACTTCTCCTAGGTAACAGCAATAGGATGAGAGGGAATGGCTTTAACTTGTGCCAGAGGAGGTTCAGGTTGGATATTAAAGAAAATTTATTCTCAGAAAGAGTAATGAGGCACTGAAACAGGCTGCTCAGGGAGGTGGTGAAGTCACTGTCCCTGGGGGTGTTCAAGAAAATGGTAGATATGGCAGTGAGTGATATAGTCTAGAGTAGTCACAGGCGTGGACTGGTGGCTAAAATAGATGACCTATGAAAAGAGAAGGAAGAAAAGCTGTAAAAAAA